GGCAGAATGTGTAGTTGTACTGAAAGTTTTCTAGAATTAGTTTATAACCACTCAATGTAGTCTAAGTATTAGAACAGCAATTGAATTCGATAAACCTGTGTCATTATCAATGCCAATTACATGGTACAAGTGTGATTTTGTAACTTACTACAATCATCAGTGGCTTTGTAATCACATTGCAAGATCAGTGTTGCTAATCTTATTTTCAGAAACGCTTACTTTGGTCTTCTACCTTTTGCATTCTGTATAAAACCATTAAAAATTACTTTTACATAACATTCTTTTAAATGTTTAAGCTTTTAATGAATGGGGATGTAAACAATGATGAAATGTCAGCTTTAGTTCTTCAGATATATTTGAGGTTTGCTTCTGTGTTATGTTCTCTGCAGGCTGAGGTGTAACATAATATGCTGTAGGAACTGCAAAATATGCAAGACGAGACTGAAGTAGTGATAGAAAAATATCTGCTTATTTTGTTGTGTTACGTGACCAGATGTGTTTAACATGAAACAGAAGCTGAGTCATGTCTTCCACAAAGCTGAGCACCAGTGAGAAGCAGCTGCACGGTCTGATCACAAAGTCAAGCGAGGCTCACAATGAGAGACTGTGATATTTAAGCTCTTTTCCTGTATTTTAATTAGGGATTCCCTCAGTTCCAGATCTATGTGCATGTTTCTCTGAAGAATATTTATGTACAATTTTCCTATCAGATTAAGAAGAAGACAGAGTGGGTCCCAGACTGATCCAGAGACATACTAACCTGCTTCTTGTTTTGCTTGTGAGAATCAGGATGGTTCTTGGCATGAGTAGGAATCATTCTATTAGAGGCACAAATTACTCCCATCGTTGCCTTGCCTAGCAGGTACAGTGAGACTAGACTGGTTTCAGGAACACCGCCTGAGGGAGGAATTCTTAACTTAATGTAGTGAGGATCTGAGGGACTTTACCAGTGAATGATATAGTGGAGAGAAAAATGAAATGCAAACATTGAAAAGGAAAATTAGGGAAAAGACATTCCAAGTTTTGAGGATTTTGTTTTGATTCCTTTGAGAAGAGATTTTGTAACTTTTGGGGGGATTTTATATCTTCCTCTTTTCTAGATTTGGAATGCATATTTTGGGAGGTAAGAAGGAGTTACTGTAAATCCACATTTCTCCTTCTTTTTGCTAAGAAAATTGCAATTAAACATGCTGCTACTTCCTTATTTTGCACCAAGTAAATGTTTAAATATTTTAAAATAAACATGTTTCAGCAGACTGCTGGGTGAGATTCATTACAGCCAGGAGGAACTTAGTGGAACTGTTCAAGGAGATCTGGTTAATATCCCCATGATTTATGCTTGTGGTAGAAATCACACTAATATTTACATGAACAGCCTGGTTTGGGGGCCATGGCAAGGCCCGATTGAAGTGGGAATTTGCACAGTCAATGCCCACTAATGAAAATAGCTACAGTTCAGTGCCCTTTCCAAAAGCATAATTAGGCCCTTCAAATAACATGTTATTTTCACATTTTTGCTCTTAAGCTGCAAACTTTCTTGCCATTTGGTGCTTGCTTTGAGACTACTACGATGCAAGATAATGTTAGCAGACTGGATAAATTTTAAAAAATATATTCTCACTACTCCTTTGTAAGCTGTGCCAGTGGGGAATGATTTTCTTGATGGTAATGTTAAATAAAAAAACAATGATCTATGGATTATCTTTATAGCATCTGATTAATACTATAGAACTGCATGTTTTGTCATTCTAAACACTTGAATTTGAGTTCCACTTGGACGGAGAAGAAACTTCAGACAGTTTTTCTAAAGTCCTTGTGGGTTTCCTCATTTAAGTGACGAATGAGCCTGTGGGAAATAGCAATCGCTGGTTTTGCCATGTTTTTACTTTTTCTTTGTTCTTGCTTTCCAAGTTCAATGATTCTCTAATTTGTTCAGGAAGCAGAACATCCTGGAAGTAAGTCAAGGTGCTCTTCGTGTCACACGATTACATGTAGAAATATTTACTCCAATCCAAAAAACACAGATGTGATATAAAAAAGATCTATCAATATACATCTAGATACAGATATCTACTGGTATATAGAAATATTCGTGCATTTCTTTTATTGCTCAAGGATATTCATATTAGTGTTTTAAATTACATTCCTTGATCTTATATTCATAAACAAAACAAGGCTACTTCCTGGTTTCCAGTAGGAGCTGTTTTCATCTTTTCCTATTAGTATTTGCTGCTTGTTCACTCACTTGTGTTTTCAGTAGATAAGCTATAATAGCTTATATGTGTTAAGAAAAATTCATGAGGGTAAAATCTAAAATGTTAAGGATGTTAGCCACTTACTTGAGATTTTTCTGAGAGTTCCAGTATTTGGCACTAAAGATATTAGTCCTGTTCAGTCCAATAATAAGAGATTTGTGCCTAACTTGAGAACTATTCTTCTAATTTTAAGTCAAGAATCAATTATGATATCTAATTGCTGCTCAGAAGATAAAGGGTATTAATATAGGCCAAGGTTAACTGGAGGCAGCTATGGACAAGCTTATATATATTTTTTATATCCTTATTTTTTATATCCTTACTACAGTCGTGTACTGCATAACATATTAGTTGATGACAGACCGCATGTATGACAGTGGTCCCTCTATACAGCCTTGGCACAGTGTAGCTATACCACCTAGGTTTGGGTGATTATACCTTCAGGGGTTCACTCAAGGACGAAATCCCCTAATGGTACATTTATCAGAATCTATCTTTGTCATAAAGTGGCACATGACACTATGTGCCAGGCACTGATTTAAGTTCTTTACATGTATTAATAGTCTTAATCTTCAGAATTCTAGGAAGCAGATATCATATCACTCATTTATTAATTCATTTGTACTAAGTGCCAGGCACTATCCTATGCCATGGGGGTAGAACATGAACAAAACAAAGTCCTTGCTCTGGTCAGGTTTAAATTCTCATTAGGGACACAGTTTTGTCTATGTTTAAATCTCTGTACCACACTTTACAAGTGCTGTGATCTTGGACCTTGGACAAATTACATAATCTCTCTGTGCCTCAGTTTTCTTTTTTTTTTTTTTTTTGAGAGGAGAAATAGGTTATTTTCTTTTTTTATATTTAAATTTTATTTTTATATTCCCCATACAATTACAACCCCCTTATTTTTACCTCATGCGCCTCAGTTTCTTTATCTGTAAAGTATACATGATAATAGTGCCTACCTTAGAGGTCTGACATGATTGGGTTTTTTTTTGTTTTTTTTTTTTTAAAGATTTATTTTATTTATTTATACAAGCACTGGGTACAGTCAGAAGCACGGGAGGGTGAGAGAATTCACCAGAGCCAGAGCAGAGAGCAGAACAGGCAGACTGACGAAATACACTGCTGAGGGGAGCAGTGGGCGGCAGGAGAGGTCTGCCACGCCATGTGGGACCCTCACCCAGCGGCCGGGGATTGAACCGGTGCTGCAGAGGCTGCAGGCAGCTTCACAACCCAGCGCTCAACTGCTGCGCCACCGGGGAGGCCCTGACATGATTGTTTTAAAGATTTATTTATTTATGCATACAAGAACTGGAGTACAGGCCAGAGGTGCAGGGGGTGAGAGGATTCACCAGAAACAGATTGGGAAGCAGAATAGGCAGATCTACTGAGATGCACTGCTGAGGGGAGCAGCAGGTGAGACAGAAAAGGTCTGCTGTGCCATGTGGGTAGCTCCCTGGCTGTGGCTCAAACTAGTACTGCAGAGGCTGCAGATAGTGCTGAGACTTAACCCCTTGAGCCACAAGGGAGGCCCGAGGTCTAATATAATGTTTATGGGCTAATTGTTGTAAAGTTCTTTGAGCAGTACCCGGCAGACAGTAAGCATTAAATTATTAAGCGTGGGGCCTCCCCTTGTGGCGCAGCGGTTGAGCACTGGGCTGAGAGGCTGCCCGCAGCCTCTGCAGCGCCGGTTCGTTCCCTGGCCATAAGCGAGGGTCCCACAAAACAAACAAACAAACATTATAAGTGTGCACTCACTGTCAAAATCTCTGTCCACATGAAGTGCTCCTCTATCAGGCACTTTTTGTGATGCATACATGTGGTGGTGAAAAGTAACATGAAAAAAGATAAAACTGGGTAAAGGAAATAGAGAAAGACTAAGAAGAGAAGGGGGTGGGGGTGGGCTTCATTTACTAACCAGGCAAAGGGTGTAAAAACCAACACCAGGTCAGAAACTCACAGGTTCTGGATCTGGTCACCAGCCACTGCAAATGCAAACAAATGGGTCTTTGGTAAGCAAAAGAGAAAAAAGTCAAACCAATATATTTTAAACAACAGGTTAGAGGAAGAGGGAGAACCAGGGGGGTAAGGGGAAGGGAGGAGGTCCAATTACACTTGGATGGTGTAAAGTGGAGTTGCAGCCATAGATTGACTGCCCTGTGGAACAGCTGCCTTCCACAGCAACTCTGATGGAAGGAATCATCCATTTGCCTATCTTCCTTTTAAAGATTCATAAATGGACATTCAGTTCCACCCTCCTCCAGCAGCCACCTTGTTCAGGATGTCAGGGTCAGAGTTTAAACCAAGGACTGCAGAGATAGCAGCACCCATCTGGTTTTGGTGCTGCTGGAAGTCAGGGGGCTAAGTTTGGCCCCCCATCTGCACAGGGCCACTCCAGCAGTTTTACATGATGGGTAGCAAAAGCATCACTGTGAGTTTTGATGGGTTCCTGACAGAGGTGAGGGACTAGATCACACAGACGGCTAGATGAGGAATGATCCTGGCAGAAGGAATAGTATGCACAGAGGGAATGCAGCAGCTGCCTGAGGCTAAGAGGTATCAACCTGGGCTCCACCATGGCAGCTGGGTTTGATGGCTGATCCTGGTGCAGCCATGTTTGGATTTTAGGAAACACAGGAAGAAAAAACTGTGGTAGTTTTGGAGATACGAGGTGTAGGTTTGAATCTGGCCAGCACCACTCAGACACAGCAGAGCTTACCTGCACAGTTCCAGGGCAAGATGTTACAGGGTCAATGCACTCACTACCAGGGTTTGGGTTTTGAGCCCCAGGCTGGTTTTGAAAATGGATCAAATATGTCCATTGACACCAGTCAGATTCAAGCTTTTATTGGCATCAATTAAGTTGGAATCAGCTAGTTTGGAAAATGGACCAATCAGATTAGAAAAGCAGGTACCCTCAAGGGGCCTTTAAGCAGAGGCTTGACTCAGCCTGCAAGGTGACTACAGAGAAGCAGGTGGTTGGAGAAAATCTATTTAGGAAAGTTTCAGTTGGTTTGGGATGACGACTCTATTTGAGAAGGTAATAGCTTGGAAGAAATTTCAGGAGGAGATTTGGCTTTGGCTTCAGAAAGACGCTGCTGTGGTGTGGCTTTAGCCGCTTCATCTGTGACTACCCCATCCTGCTATAGGTTAGCTGTATTCTAGTTCGCCTCTTATCAGTGTCACCAGTTCCAAGCTGTCATCAGAGGGACAATACTATTTTGCATGAGCAGCTTTTGGTTTGGACTAGTGGACACTGTGACACTATCTGGGGAGGACAGCCAGCCATTTGTGGCCTTAGGAACTCTTTCTTTACCCCAACTTCCCCTTTGTAAATAAACACTGTTGTTTTTGCACCCTGAGATTGAGCCATGTCTTGCAATTGTGAGTATGTGAGTGAAAAAAACTCACAATGACCTGTCCACAACTTTAGACACTTTCAGGAATAGTATGTGCAAAGGACAGAAGAGGGAGTGTAGATGTGTTTGAAGAGCAACAAGGAACTCAACACAACTGAGAGAGAGAGAGAGAGAGGAAAGATGGAAAACTGAAGGAATAAAAATCACATCAGGAAGAGCCTTGTAGGTTATGATGACAACGTTCTATTTTAATCAGGCCTTTACTCTGAATAAAACTGAAGGCCTCAGAAGAGGTTCCGCAGTAAATTACACCTCTTTTCCATACCCAGGTTTTAAAGGGCTGGTGAGATAAATGGAGGAATTTTTTTTTCTTTTTTCTTCTGTAATGTATTCCCAGTGGCATATAATAGGTTTTTAAAAAATATTTGATGAGTGAATGGAAGGGGAATTTTGTTTTAAAGTAAATGTGGAAGCCAACATACCAGCTTTATTACTGGTAGAGAGACAGTTGTTTTATGCCACTTCAGGTTAGCTAAATGGATTTGCTAACATTGAACCCCAGAGGTGCTGGGGGTGAGAGGATTCACCAGAGACAGAGTGGGGAACAGGCAGACTGAAATACACGGCTGAGGGGATCAGTGGGCAAATCAGGGAGAAGTCTGCTGCGCCATGTGGGTAGCAGCTGGGGATCAAACTCGCACTGCAGAAGCTGCAAACAGCTAGGCCCTATACCTCAGTTCTTGTATGCATAAATAGATAAATCTTTAAAAAAGGGGGGTTATATGGACTCATATGTTCATTGCAAAACAACTTATAATAGCTAAATTGCGGAAACAACCTAAGTGTCAAAGGACTGATGAGTACATCAAGAAGGTGTGGTACATATATACAATGGAACACTACTCAGCAATCAAAAAATATAAAAATCTTGCTACTTGCAACAACTTGGACAGAACTGGAGGATTATACTAAGCAAGATAAGTCACAAGGATAAAGACAAACAGCAGATGCTTTCAATTGTGTGTAATTTGAGAAAATAAGGGCCAGGAAAAAAGCCAAACCAATAACAAACCTTGGAACTCTGACTGTAGAACAGAGGCTATCAGAGTGGAAGGGGGATTATAGAGGAGAAATGGGGGAGCCCAGTGGACTATGGTGGAGGATCATGGTTGCCTTGGTGGTAGGTGTATGGGTGAATCACATACATCATTGTAAATCAAAGTTACCTCATAAAAACAAATAAATATGAACAAATAAAAGATAAATTTTGGGGAAAAAAACACATTTCAGGAGCAGAGTCTAGATATAAAAAGAAGGTAAGAATGTGCTTAGGCATACTTCTGCCTCAAAGAAACCATGAGTTGGGCAAATATCTCTAATAACTACAATAGGTACACTTTTGAGGTTCTAGAACAGGGAAGGAAATTCTCTGATTTACATTTTAGAAGGATTCCTCCTATTTGCCTCCTCCAGATCCACTGTTGACTCTCCTTCCCGGCTCTAAGCCCTGGAATGAGTGAAACTGGATTATAGGCATCCAAGAGCTGCAGATGGGTGAAGCCTGAACATTGCCCTCTCTGGATCCTGGTAACCACTTCCTACACTCTGAGATGCCACACCATTCCTGTCTGATTTCCCTCAAAGCTGTCTTTACCATTGTAAATTGTTCCTGTATTAAACTTGCTTCAAATTCCCCAGCTTGTCTATGCCATTGTTTCCTGACCAGATCCTGACAGAGATATGCAGTAGGTCCTTGGATAAGGTTGCTTTGTTCATTATTTCATTATGATGTTAATGAGAAAAAAGCAATCCCTGTGATGTTATTTGAGGACCTGCTTTCCTTATACATTACTATGCTTGAAGTCAGTTTCCAAGAACTTATTAAGTGTATTGATATTAACTAACGTAGTTGCCCTGGATGTTTTTCTGTTTGTTTGTTCTTAAAGATTTATTTATTTATTTATCAAGCACTGGGTACAGTAGAAGCGCTTGAGGATGAGAGAATTCACCAGAGCCTGAGCCGGAGCAGGGAGCAGAGCAGGCAGAAGGACCGAAGTACACTGCTGAGGGGAGCAGCAGGCGGCAGGAGAGGTCTGCGCGCCATGTGGGACCCTCGCTTAGCGACTGGGGATCGAACCAGCGCTGCAGAGGCTGCGGGCAGCTTCGCAGACCAGTGCTCAACCGCTGCGCCACTGGGGAGGCACACCCTGGATGTTTTATGTGGAGAGATTATATGGTGTGGAAGGAGGGGGCAAGCACAAAAGACCAGTTCTGGAGTCCATCCCAATAAGAGATGCTGGTGGGCCTCCCTGATGGTGCAGTGGTTAAAGACCAGTGCTATCAAGCTATCACCAGCCATCCAAACATGAGCTTGATCCCCAGCAAGGTACCTGACATACATGGGGCAGCAGACCTCTCTTGTCTCACCCGCTGCTCCCCTCAGCAGTGTATTTCAGTGGATCCGCCTCTTCTGCTCTCTAATCTGTCTCTGGTGAATCTTCTCACCCCCTACACCTCTGGCTTACACCCTAGTTCTTGTATACATAAATAAATCTTTAAAAAAAATAAGAGATGTTGGTGCTTGTCACCAGGGTTGGGACAATAGATCGTGGAAGTGGTCATAGTAGGGACTTAATTTGAAGGTAGAGCTAAGAGGATCTGCTGATATATTGGATATGGGTTCTAAGAGAAAAGAGGAGAAAAATCTTCTCTTTTTAAAACTGTACAACAAAATGATGCCATTTAGAGGTCTGGCAAAGAGGGAACTGATCGTGATTTTTTTTTTCAGAAGTAGAAGGATACACTCGAAGAATTTTGCAAGTTTGCTTTAACAAGTTTTTTCATACAATTGCCTGTCCTGTGGCCTTTTATGGTTTCACCAATGTTCTTGACTGTTGCAAATATTGCCTCCAAGGAAACAAATTGTAACAACTCTAATTACAAGAGCAAACCTGTATATACATATATACCTACATAGATCCACCTTGTGGCCTTTGTGGAAGTAATATTTTAAATAGTTTAAATCAAATTACCAAGAGATATTACAGTTGCAAAACTCTTGGTAAGCACTAGCCTACAGAGTGAAACCCTAAGTTTCTGAGTACTGAACTGTCTCTCTGTGCAAATGTCTAACTACTACTGTCTACAAATGCCAAGCAAGTGTGCATAGTGTATTCAGTAATATCCTAATAATATATAGTTGCTTCTACATTTATGTGCGTGTGTGCATTTGTGTTTGAGAGAGAGACAGAGAGAGGGAGAGAGAGAGAGAAACTAAAGACAAAAAGGAAATTGCTAGATTCTAGGTAATTCTTACATTCTCCTTATGCTTATCCACCCATATTCTAATTTTTCTGAAATAAACAGGGTATTTCTTTTAGAAAGTTTCTATTTTGATGCTTCATCCTTTTACCAGGCTTCCCTGATGATCTAAAATAGTCGTATCTCCACCCCACCCACTTTCATACAAGTGCATACACATCCTGCTTTTCTCTTCTACACAGGCAAAAATTCAATTATCTGTTGATTTTTCAATTGCATCAATGAAATGTATGCTCTCTGTGACAGGGTCCTTGTCTGCCTTGTTCACTGTTCAAGTATCTAAACTTGTGCCTGGTACATAGAAGGAGTCTCAATAAATATTTGTTAATAAACACACAGTATGTGATTATTGTGACGATTCTAAAAACATTGATACCAACAGTAAGAGCATAAATTCAGTCAAATTTTCTAAAGAGAAATTTCCCACTTATTAAAAAAATCTTAAGGAAAAATCATGACCTTTGATTCAGAAAATCTACTGGTGGAGCTTAATAGGAAATTCAGACAACTAATAATTTATAAAATCGTTTTTGTTTGCAGTATCCATATAAATAAGGTTTGGTTAAAAATATTAGGAAAAAGTCATGAAATAGTCACAACAGCAATCAAATGACTGTAGAAAGAAGTGTATTATCCATTATTACACTTTAAAAGTAGGCAACACTCTCTTTCTCCTTGAGTGTGGGAGGACATCTCTCTTTTGAGGAGAGTAAGTACCCTGATTTCCAGTGCTTTGTGAAACCTCAGATCTGAGGCCTTCTGTCTAGGCATCTGCAATTTCATACTGTTGGAATATTTATTGTATCCAATAAATATTGGATACAACTTTCTGTAAGTTTGCTGTGGCTGAACCAAGGAAGAAATTATATGCAGATTTCTACAGAAATTATGATTCCATGAAAGATTTTGAGGACATGAGAAAGGCCAGCATCTTTCAAAGTGCAAAGGATTTCTTTGGCTTGACTTCCATGTAAGTTTGTCATTGACTTGTGTTCCTGAACTATGAAACATAAATATTTGGGCTAAGTAATAATTTTTCTTGATAAATAAACAAATACTGTGGAGAGGGAAAAAAAGTAGGTAGCAAAAGTAGCATGCTTGGCATAATTACTTAAACATGGAAAATTTTGGGGAAGCCCAGAATATTAACCATGATTATTTTGGGGTTGTAAGATTATAGACTTTCTTCAGTGTACTTATCTACACATTTTTAAATGCCTATAATAAACTCATAAAACAAAGAGTTGTGCCATTTTATTTCACTTCTCAATAGTGTTGAAGATTAGATTATTATTATTATTCAATAGAAAATGAATTTTCTAAGGCCTCTCAATGACAGCATATAACAAAATGGAAAAAGTAAAATTTGGAAATGAATAAGAATCACAGAAGTCTGAATACTTTTTTCTGTTTCTGTTACTCAACATTTATTTCAAGTGGAATAACATTTCTCACTAGGTTCCAAAAGGAATTTGTAGAATCACCACTGTCTGCCAACAGAAATTGTTATTGCAAATAATAATTAGGTTAACAATGAAAACCCTAGGGGGGTAAATACAAAGCCACAATTCACCATTATCCTTGAGTGGAATTATAGAGGTAGGAGGCAGGTGGAGAGGTCCTCTTTCAAATTCAAATCAAATAAATGGTAGTAGTCACTACTTCACTGCATACAGGTCCCACTCAACAAAACTCAGGAAACAAAAATTGCCCTCAGGAGAGCTGTTTGCAGTGAGTGG